GACAGGGTCTCTGTCATGTGACACCTCACATGACAGGGTCTCTGTCATGTGACACCTCACATGACGGGATCTCTGTCATGTGACACCTCACATGACAGGGTCTCTGTCATGTGACACATCACATTACGGGGTCTCTGTCATGTGACACCTCACATGACAGGGTCTCTGTCATGTGACACATCACATTACGGGGTCTCTGTCATGTGACACCTCACATGACGGGGTCTCTGTCATGTGACACATCACATTACGGGGTCTCTGTCATGTGACACCTCACATGACGGGGTCTCTGTCATGTGACACCTCACATGACGGGGTCTCTGTCATGTGACACCTCACTGACGAGGTCTCTGTCATGTGACACATCACATGACGAGGTCTCTGTCATGTGACACCTCACATGACAGGGTCTCTGTCATGTGACACTTCACATGATGAGGTCTCTGTCATGTGACACATCACTGACGAGGTCTCTGTCATGTGACACCTCACATGACGGGGTCTCTGTCATGTGACACCTCATATGACGGGGTCTCTGTCATGTGAAACCTCACATGACGAGGTCTCAGTCATGATAAAAACATTTTAAAAATTCGAATAATCAAAGTTTTCATTCATATCATATATAAGATTCAAACCAGTAAATAATTGCCACGATAATATCACATGATTGTGTCGCCGATAACGTCACATATTGTGGTTTTCATGACATCTCACAATTATTTATTATAAATATTTGATGATTGCATCCATAGCATCACTAACATCACCTCATCTTGTGACTGATCAATAGCATTGTTGCCTCGAACACGTCACTGAGTCGCGAGCCTCAGCTCCTCTACAGGAAGACCACGCCCTTCCTGAGGGTGGTATTACGTGCCCCTTTGAAGAAGGAGCTTATCCGAGGGGAGATGGGAGCATCAGCAGCGTCAGTAGACGCTCAAGCGCGGGTGTTGGTAACATAACATCTGATGACGAAGGAAGGCACAAGGTGAAGGAGGGTAAAAGTGGCAGTGGCAGCAATGGTGGCATTAAAGTTGGTGGTGGCAACAACAGACACAGGGGCAATTCCAATGCCAGCAGTGGCAGCAGCAGACACAGTGGCAGCATCAATGTCAGTAGTGGCAGCAGCAAACACAGTGGCAGCTCTAATGCCAGCAGTGGCAGCGGCAGACACAGTGGCAACGTCAGTGCCAGCAGTGGCAGCAGCAGACACAGTGGCAGCAGTGGCTCTAGAAAGCCGAGGCTGCATTTGCAGGAGGTGTCTGTGGCGCTCGGTTTGGTGCAGCGGAATTTCACGGACGTCAAGGTGAGTCACATCACATCTTCATGTGAGTCACACCACATCTTCATGTGAGTCACATCACATCTTCATGTGAGTCACATCACATCTTCATGTGAGTCACATCACATCTTCATGTGAGTCACATCACATCTTCATGTGAGTCACATCACATCTTCATGTGAGTCACATCACATCTTCATGTGAGTCACATCACATCTTCATGTGAGTCACATCACATCTTCATGTGAGTCACATCACATCTTCATGTGAGTCACATCACATCTTCATGTGAGTCACATCACATCTTCATGTGAGTCACATCACATCTTCATGTGAGTCACATCACATCTTCATGTGAGTCACATCACATCTTCATGTGAGTCACATCACATCTTCATGTGAGTCACATCACATCTTCATGTGAGTCACATCACATCTTCATGTGAGTCACATCACATCTTCATGTGAGTCACATCACATCTTCATGTGAGTCACATCACATCTTCATGTGAGTCACATCACATCTTCATGTGAGTCACATCACATCTTCATGTGAGTCACATCACATCTTCATGTGAGTCACATCACATCTTCATGTGAGTCACATCACATCTTCATGTGAGTCACATCACATCTTCATGTGAGTCACATCACATCTTCATGTGAGTCACATCACATCTTCATGTGAGTCACATCACATCTTCATGTGAGTCACATCACATTATGCAACCGCATTATGGATTCATAATATCTTTATTCTATAGCTTCATCTTTCATTTATACGTTGATATTGTTCTATTTCTCCGTAGTTCAATTACATTGATGTTTTCTTCAATGAAGTCTTAAGTCTCTTCAGACCGACATTGTATCGATATTTTTGCTGTTCTACTTGAAATTTGATTCTATGGGAATCATTAGAAAATAATTGAGAATTTAAATTCATTTGATTCGGTAACTTTGGTTGAACAGGACACGAGAAATGACTAAATTTGTGTTCGAATAGATGACTGATAACAAAATCATCAGGGTAATTGGACACGGAGACAGTGGAGGCGGCCAGTACAACTTTCATATATACTAACCGCCGCTATATACCGCGCTATTGGCCCCGTGTATAGACGTTACTGGCCACAGAAGAACCCAGTAGCCATTTACACGAGATCATCGGCAAGGTAATTTGTCACACTTACTATTTGAAAGTTTTACTGGTCGCCACTACTGGTCGCCACTACTGGCCGACACTACTGGCCGCCACTAGTGTCCGTGTGTACGAACCTCCCGCAGGTCGTGGACGGCAGCGAGCTACTGGCGGCCACCTCGTCTGGTGACGTCATCAGGATGAGGCTTACCGGTGACGCTATCTCTTATTTATAACATTAAAATATTACTGAAATATACATTTATCTAAGCATACATAAATATTAATTCAATGAACTGATGAGTGCTTTTTCCGAAAAGGACATATGTAATCAATGAGGAATACATTTTTCCGCAGTAATATTAGTCGTGATAGAAGATATTTAAAAAAAACGAGGTAGAAGAGTTTCACGTGTGACAATGATGACGTCATCCCTCAGGTCCCCCTCTACAGGCTGTGCTTGTCTCCGTCATGACCCCCCGAGGGGGGAGACAAGCCCCCCACCACACCCCCTCCCCTGGTGGGTGTCCCCCTGTACCCCCATATTGAAAATTACATGTTACTAACAGTTATTAATTCCATGAATCTTTAAGACTTAAAATAAATAAATAAAATTCAAATAAATAATAAATAAATAAAATTCAAATAAATAATAAATAAATAAATCTTTATTTTGCAAATTAACTGAATTCAGCACTGGAAAATAATGTGGGCTTAGTTATAAACAAAATTACCTATATGAATAAATTTAAATACAATTTATTTATTAGTATTTGTTAGTAATTAATTAGTTATAGTAGTAATTAGCCAGTTTGGTTACTAAGTTGTTATCATCGCAAAAACTAAACAAATTATATTTATTATTATAGCATATCTTATCAGGACTGACGAGCTTGCTGGCGCTGTCGAGCTGTGATCTGGTGGTGGGGGACACGAGGGGGGCGGTGAGGGGGCTGCGATGTGTGAGGGAGGCGGGGGACAAGCAGCCCCCCCTTAGGGAGCACGGATCCCTTAAGATCACGAGACCAAGGGATCCTACCAAGCCTCTTATGCAAGAAGTAAGAAAATTCATTTTGTATCTCCGGTTTCTTGCTTCTTTTTTGAAACAAACATTACTCACTATCTGGCATCATCTAATTTTTTGGCGGAATGTTAAGTTTTACTTCAATAGTGATTTCAGTATCATTGAATCATCAATAAAATCAAGGCAGTTTCGCTCACATATTAAATTTGTTTACTGAAAACATGTAGACAATTTATGATGGTTGCTCGAAATTGTGCTTGAATAAACTATAACAACTACATATTTTATACACCAAGAATTTAAAAGTATAAAGAATACAAGTATATTAACCAAATAATCAATTTAAACATTTCAGAGACCAGATGTATCATCAAATATACACGAGAGATCCATCTTTTATATTTTGATTTCCATTACAGATTGTACTAGTATTCTGTAAAGTTTTTAAACAGATGATTGAGCTTGTCTCAGGAATGTTTTGACTAAAGAAGAAGTGTTGAATTCACTGGACGTATTCTTCGCTTTCAAATTCTTGATCAACTTTCGATTTAAGCAGGCTAATGATATATGTTTAATAATATTTGGTTATTGCTATTAGTTATTCATATTAAATATTTATATTAAGTATTGATATATGCACAGTTATGGCGGGTGGAGTTGGGTGCCCCCGTGACGTCACTGAGCCTGCAGGGCTTCACCCTCCTGGTGGGGACGAGCGCCTGTGAGATGCAACAGCTGTTCCTGGGGGCACGGGAGCTGCTAGAAGACGCGTCTCTGGGGGGCGCCGCCCCCGGCTGTGGTGCCTCTCAGCATCGTGAGTCGCGCTACCATTACGTGGTTTACTCATTGTAATGGGCAGTAGAGAGCCTATTATGGCTATAGGTAAAGAGGAACCTATCATTCATAGGGACAGTGGGTAATTGTCATTGTAATGGGCAATGAGGAACCTATCATTATTGCGGGCAATTTAAGTGGGAAAGTCAATTATGATTCATAGTCGATGATGTTACTCATAGATCGTTGCAGTACTGCTGCAGATGCTGAATGCGACCGTGCAGCTGCTGCTGCTTCATGATTGAGACCGTACTGTGCTGATGACCGTACTAGTGGAAATAGTTGCGCAGGCTCGCTCATGAATATTTTGATTGCCTGCATTATAATCGTTTGACGTCTTGTTGTCTCTCACGTTGTTTTACGGTTAAATCACAGTCGTAGCAATGATGTTGATCGTACAAATATGGCATGGCCGTTGCTTGTAGAATTTTGAGTTTTTTTTATACTGTACGAGTGGTTGAGAAATGAATAACTCGAAGTTCCGCGCGGTCGTTTTTCTGGCCCCGCTGGCCCACGGTCGCGGCCGTCACCTACGTCGGCGGAGCAAACTGAACGTACTTGCGTGACGATTATTGAGAATAACAATTTTGGGGTGAATTTTGTGATCCTTATGTAGGCACGCGTCGCGCACGCATGATGCCTACCAAGGGACGCCGCGCCCTCGCGATATCCTCGGCTGATACATTATATAAACAAACTTGTTTCCATGCTGTGATACCCACTACCTTGTCTTGCGGTCAAGTATCATCCTGTCTATAACTGCTTAGACAGGAGCTCAGTCCCTTCACTTCTACATAAGAGCTATTTTCGTTGAAATTATAATATAATATAAATTTAAAATTGTCCATGCTTTATTTACACCACCTTATCACCAAAGCTGTGGTTCTTATCGGCATCAGTTACCATCACCTTATCACCTATGCTATGGTTCTTATCATCATCAGTTACCACCACCTTATCACCAAAACGATGGTTCTTATCATCATCAGTTACCACCACCTTATCACCAAAACGATGGTTCTTATCATCATCAGTTACCACCACCTTATCACCAAAACGATGGTTCTTATCATCATTAGTTACCACCACCTTATCACCAAAACGATGGTTCTTATCATCATTAGTTACCACCACCTTATCACCAAACGATGGTTCTTATCATCATCAGTTACAATAACCATTACATCGCAACGATCGCTCCAGCCTCACCCACCACAGGATGTGAAGGGTTGCGCCGGCGCTATCTTCTCCCTCGCCGATAAGCTGCCCGGACGCGATATGCTTTTCTCGCATATTTATTCGTCTTCGAAATAAAAATAAATTGCAAATTTACTGAATTGAGCACTGGAAAATAACTGATGATTATCACACAAGGCAAATGACGTTAAAAAAACGTTGAATTAACGTTGATTCAACTTCAGATATCAGGGTTTGTAACTATAGCCAATATGATATCGGATGTTGGATGGGTATATCACGTGTCTATGAGACAGCGGATTTGGTATGAACTCATCAGATCTTTTAGACAGTAAATGTAGTGTGAGGATATCTCCTTCAGAAGGAATGACATCACGAGCGAGCGTGCAATAAACTCTATGTTTTGTTGTATGTTGTCTTCAGAGACGTGATGCAAAGCACTGGTCTTCGTATTGCTGTTAAGAGATAATGTAATCCTCGTATTGTAAGCTCGAGGAATTTATAGCTATCTTATTCCTATTGCTGATTATTTATTGCCTTGACTTAATGCATTAGTATTATTGATTTTAATTATCTACTTCTTGGTGCGGTCATTCTTCGTATAATTTATTAAAACAATTTTTCGTATAACTTATTAAAACATATATTTGTTATAGTTTAATCAGAGTTGTTGCTTCTGGTTAGTTAGGGTAACGAAGTTTTTGTTGGTCGTGACTTTAGCCCAAGCTTTCCAGTTAAATTTTTTTCTGAGATTTAATTTGTTACATCCTTCTTGCCTACATGTTATCCTCCTTCATCCGTGTCTTTTTGTTTCCCTCCTTTATCATCCTTGTCTTTTTGTTATCCTCATCATCCTTGTCTTTTTGTTATACTATTCTATCATCTATGTATTTTTAATATCCTCCTTCATCGTCCTTGTCGTTTTCGCCATCTTCCTTTCATCCGTGTAATTTTATTATCCTCCTCTATCATCTTTGACTTCTTGTTATCCTCCTTTATCGTCATTTTATTTTTGTTATCTTTCTTTATCATCCTTGTCTTCTTGTTACCTTTCTTTATCATCCTTGTCTTTTTTGTTATCCTCCTTTATCATCCTTGTCTTCTATTATCATTCTTTAGCATCCCTGTCTTCTTGTTTTCTTTCTTTATCATCCTTGTCTTTACGTCATCATTCTTTATCGTCCTTGTCTTTTTCGTTATCTTCCTTTATCATTCTTGACTTTTTGTTATCATTCTTCATCTTCCTTGTATTTTTCCTTATCCTCCTTTATCATCATTGTATTTTTGTTATCCTCCTCTATTACCTTTGACTTCTTGTTATCCTTCTTTATCATCCCTGTCTTTTTCGTTATCATTCTTTATCATCCATCCCTACACGATATCCTTATTCTATCGCAGCCGCGACATGTAAGCTCCGTGCTGATGTCCCGCCTTCGCGTCTGCTGGCCACGAGCTGTACGAGCGCCGTGCACGACTTAGCCTTCCCCAGGTGAGCCGCACGACCGCCGTGTACGATGTCGTCGTGCCACGATGACATCGTATACGACACGTGACACGGCATCGTGCCGTGTACGATGTCATCAACCAATGCCCAGGAAAACCATACTTTGGACTTAAGTTCTATATTTTTTCCTTCTCTGATATCAAGATTTGAGGGTCGTTCTGCAGTGCATATTTTTCCTTATCTGAGATATCGATAACAAAAATTTAGGTATACGAGTTTGTATTTTTTAGTAATAGCTGATACATTTTCCGCGTTTGTTTAAGTTACGTTAAGTTATTGCTGCTGTTCCCCCAGAGGGTTAGACCACCTGCTGGTGACGGCGGGGGTGGGGGGCGTGCGCGTGTGGTGCCTAGCAACCCACCAAGAACTCCTCCGCCACGCTCACCACGGACTAGTTGCTCTCGCGTGTGACGTCACGCATGACCGCTCAACCATATTGGCAGGCGAGTGACACAGACGTTAAATTAGGTGTAATGGTAATAGTAGTGTGTTGTATTCGAATATAATCAGACTCGTTTATGATTAGAAAAGTTCAGTTGCAGATTAAATTTGAAATTGACTTTATTACACACTTGACCCGCTGCTACAACTTTATTTTACAAACATTAGTAGTTGTTTGTAATATACGGTTTAGTAAAATAATCGGATATAGTTGAATTAACACCCCTTTGTGATTGGAATAAGTTCTTCCATAGATTAAATTCAAACTGGTTTAAACCTTAAACGTATTAAACACTCCACCCGCTGCTACGAATTTTATACCAATATACATACACCAACCCGACATTAAGTGAAGTTAACATTATTAATCGTTCCTCTATCCCATACAACGATAATCCAATAGATTTACTCCTATCAGGACTTTACGAAACAGTAAAGATTCATGAACAATGGGGATTTTTCAGCCAGCATAACAATCGAAAAATGCAAACGTCAGCAGAAAGGAAGAAAGTAAATGAAATGCTGGTTCGTGAGTCCGTAGAGTTAAATGTAAATTTCAATTAAATTCTACACACGCACGGCGAGTTTCCTGCATCTACTACTAAATTAATACTAAATTAATACTAAATTATTACTAAATTAATTGACGAAAAAAATGTATAATGGAATAAGTGTTCAATAAAATGACATATGAAAAGAGAGACGGAAAATAATATGCATTCTCATTCTCTATTGTCAAGCATGTAAATAAATAAATATGATAAAGTCGAAGATAATTACTTGGAAACATGAGGAAAAATATTTAATAAAATATTGAGTTAAATGCAAGATCATCATATGAGCTAATTATAATTGATGGTTGGTGTGCAGGGTGGGAGGATGGTGGGCTGAGTGGAGTGGGGGCGGAGAGTGGGCGGCAGCTGTGGCGGGTCACGGGCGCCCACCAGGGCCCACTCAGCGCCCTCTGCGCCCTTAGCTCACCTCTGCTCGTTACTGGAGGTCACGACGGCAAGGTCATATTATTTAATTCTCATTTAGATTCTCATTCAAATTCTCATTCAAATTCTCATTCAAATTCTCGTTCAAATTCTCATTCAAATTCTCGTTCAAATTCTCATTCAAATTCTCATTTAGATTCTCATTCGAATTTTCATTTAGATTCTCATTATTCTCATCTAAATAATTTTCCTGCTTCTACACTTAAATTAATGCACCTTTTGAAGGAAATACGTGCGTATGAAACAATGAAAACACATTGAAACTTGTTAAATTTTAGATTAGTGCTAATTTTATAATTTTTTGATTAGACTATTTAGAAAGGACTTTTATAACGACTATATTTTGATTTATGACGACTATTTTGATTAGACATAATGGGAATAATAGTAAATACGTCATTACTCTATTTAATTCTAATAAATTTGTATTAGTTTTTCTTGAGTGCTACGCTGCCCCCCGCAGGTGGGGCTGTGGCGCACCCCCAGTGGGGGGAGGGGGGCGGCCCTGGTCAGCTGCCACCAAGATGAGTACCAGTTACCATAGGATGATTGGTATAAATTTAGGTAGGAAAATGGGTATCTAGGAAAATGGGTATCTAGGAAAATGGGTATCTAGGAAAATGGTTATGTAGGAAAATGGGCATCTAGAGAAAAATAGGCACCTGGTACTAGTATACCAGTAGGTAGGGCAGGGTACCAGGTAGCATGGTTATTATTGCTCTGCACCCTGTGCTGGTATCTCTGGTACAGCCGAGGTTAGAAAATCTGTCCGGTCTCTGCAAAGGTCCGCGGTGTCGAGGCATGTCAGATTGTTGGGACATTTGACGACGTGGAGCCATCTAAGAAAAATAAAAAAAAATAAGTCGACTAAGAAAAATAAAAAATAAAATAAGTCGACTAAGAAAAATAAAAAATAAAATAAGTCGACTAAGAAAAATAAAAAACCAAGTCGACTAAGAAAAAATAACACTAGCTGCTTATATTGCTGATGTTATTGTTGATTCTGATTTTATAGCTGCTGAGGAGTATGAAGTGACCGGAGCTAAGTTATGCTAGCATACGTCTAGCAAGGGCTGCAGTTACTGGCCGTTCAAGGGCTGCAGTTACTGGCCGTTCAAGGGCTGCAGTTACTGGCCGTTGCTAGGGCTGCAGTTACTGGCCGTTCCTAGGGCTGCAGTTACTGGCTGTTGCTAGGGCTGCAGTTACTGGC